TTGATATATCATATCAAGAACTGTGTGTGACGAGGCCAGCTGGCTGATGCCCTCTGATAACGTGGTGGTGCCTGTCACAGCTGGTTCTTGCCACAACTGGTGCTTATCACACCTGGTGCCTGTCACGTCTGGTGCTTATCACATCTGGTGTTGTCACAGCTGGTACGTATCACACCTAGTATTATCACAGCTGGTGCTTGTCACACCTAGTGTTGTCACAGTTGACAGCTGGTTCAGTTTTTCAAGTCTGTTCCCAGGAAGCGGCTCTCCCCACCCCATCTGAATACCGGTCTACAGGTGGTTATTAATAAACACCTCCACACGTGAGTTAATAATAATGCTACTATTACTACTACTTTTACTACTACTACTACTACTAATAATAATAATAACGCTAGCCTTCTGGCGACAACTTTACCAAGGAGAGAGAGAGAGAGAGAGATATACATTATAACACACTTTAAACCACTAACACACATTCACTTCAAACTTTAAAGTGGTCGGTCCACTTAACATTATGACTACCTATCTACCCCGACATTATGACTACCTATCTACCCCGCGATCTTAACTATTTCTGTATTCTACTGTAGCAGGAGGGAGAGATATATCATAATCTACACTTGGAAAATCTTGGAAGGAATGGTCCCAAATCTGCACACAGAAATCACTCCCTACGAAAGTAAAAGACTGGGCAGGCGATGCAAAATGCCGCCAATAAAAAGTAGGGGCGCCATTGGTACACTAAGAGAAAACACCATAAGTGTCCGGGGCCCAAAACTGTTCAACAGCCTCCCATCAAGCATTAGGGGAATTGCCAATAAACCCCTGGCTGCCTTCAAGAGAGAGCTGGACAGATACCTAAAGTCAGTGCCGGATCAGCCGGGCTGTGGCTCGTACGTTGGACTGCGTGCGGCCAGCAGTAACAGCCTAGTTGATCAGGCCCTGATCCATCGGGAGGCCTGGTCATGGACCGGGCCGCGGGGGCGTTGATCCCCGGAATAACCTCCAGGTAGCCTCGTCTTCTCCTACCTCTTCTATCTTCCATCACTCTTAATTATTTTTGGTAAAAATGGCATGTGGTACGGACAGGTTGTTGGAGAGAGACAAAACGCCAACACTAACACTAGGACATTCTGTTGTAAACTTTTCGGTCCTGGGACCCTGGTCACTCCAAAAGGAGTGACCACGGTCCCAGGACCGATACGTGTTCAGTAAAATGTTGTAGTGTTTGCGTTTTATATTAACTATTTCTGCATCCTGTCATTTGTACTGTATTCAGAGGATGGGTTGAGGGAGCAGGAAGAACTCTGGAAGCCGGATACAAGAATATTCACACCGGTGCACCCACCACGTAACAATACTAGGCACCACGCTCTGTGTTTAAATAATAAGATATTACCAGAACCATAATGGATAATATATATAATATATTATATATATATATATATAATTATATAATATATATATATATATATATATATATATATATATATATATATTTATATATCACTTTGGCTGACTTTTTTCGGGGGGGGGATTACCTTAGTAATTCGCACATGTTACTATGTATCATGATTTGTGTAGCTGTACCTAAATAAACTTATCAAAGCTCTACACAGAACAAAAAGTTCTCCCAATACAAGCTAGTTTTCTGTGTCTTCCTCTTCATGCTAGTCATACACTTCTTGTGTGGATTTGTTCATTTTATTTATCAATTTGTGTAATGTAAGGAGTGTAAATATATACCCTCACCCGCCCTCGTCTGGGTGTGTGTTTATTTGCTCTTTTTGAACCTAATAATTCACATAAATCTGCATAATTGTGTTCGTGAGGTTTCAAGATTTGTGTTTATCGTAGGATGGACCCCTGTCTGTGGCGATGTATTTTACTTAACACAAACACTTCCAGCATGTCTAGAGTGTCTTACACTTAAACAAGTGTTGCTGATGACGTATGGTGGTGTATCATGATGTACGACAAGTTTGTTAAGTGTATGACAGGTGTGTCAGTGGTAGGACAGGTGTGTCAAGTGAATGACATGTGTCAGTGGTATGACAGGTGTAGCAGTGATATGACAGATGTGTCCTGGATATGACAGGTGTATCAGTGGTATGTAACAATGCGGCTCAAACAGTGGTGAGGTGCCTTATTCAAGCCACGAAGACATCAGGCTATTCCGGGAACCCCACTTGGATGGAGAGTGGGTTAGGTGGGAGGTAGTGGGGAAGCCGCAGCATGATGGGGGGAGAGGGAGGGGTAATAGAGCGGGTGATAGTGACTGCAGGATGAGTGTAGTGACGCCTGCCTGGGAACCACCATCTTATCACCATTACACAATCCTGGTTAAGTAAATGTGTGACTTCTACCCCCTCCCTCTGGCTTCCCCTCCTCGAGTTTTCCCTTCCCTGCTAGTGCTTCCCCCCCCCCCTCCAACCTCCTCTCCATGTCTGGCCTAGACTTCCCCTGGCAGTGTTTCCCGGCCAGCCTGGCGGATATTACAAGCTGGTGACTTCATCACACAAACAGTCCAGCATAACGTTGCACAAGTCAGTTTTTGCCTCCACCTTTCCTCAACACTCCTCCACCAAACGTTCCTTCCCGACCCAAGTTAGCTCCACCAAACGTTGACTCCTGGATTAAGATAGCTTCACTAAACATTCCTTCTCGGCCTAAGATAGCTCCACCAAAAGTTCCTTTATGACAGCCTCACCTTACAGGCTTTCTGAAAACCCCTCATTTCCCGGGCTTCCTGACAGCCTCCCCTTTTTAGGTTCCCTGTCCCCTCCCCTTCGGTTTCCCTTTACCCCTCACCTTCCAGGGTTCTGTCAGCTCCCCTCCAAGTTCTGTCAGCTCACCTTCCCCGGTTTCTTTAGCCTCACCTTAGGCTTCTGTCAGCCTTACCTTCCGGGGTTTGCTGACAGCCCCCCCTTCCGGGGTTGCTGACAGTTCAATTCCAGGGTTGTGAACCTAACCCAGGGTTGCGACAGCCTCCCCTTTCCCGGGTTTGGACGCCTCATTTCCCATACAATTACCAGGAAGTGCAACAAACGCCCCAAAATGGTAACGTGTTTCGTATCAAAGCCTAGTAAAATTTGTTTAATCGTTGCTTTGGTTAGTGAAAATGAGGGGGTGGTGAAGGGTAAAAGTGAGGGAGTGACGTGAAAAGGAAAGTAAGGGTTTGTGTGTGAAGTAAGGAAAGTATGGGAAAGGGTTGTTGGTTTGTGTCAAATAATTTTGATTTCATGAAAAGGGTAGAGTGAAAGGTTTGGGGGAGAGGGAGTAGGGGAGGGGGCGGAGGGGGCGGGGATGGATTTGGGAGAGAGGGGGGGTTTTGGTGGGGGGGGGAAGGCAGTATTGGAGGGTAGGTAAGCACCCGGGCAACAATGGGGTTTTGTTCATGTGGGTCGGATCCGAGGTTGTTATGGTAGGTCGGTCGCGGGGTTTTCAAGGTGGGTCAAGATCGCAAGATTGTTCGGTAGGTCGGGACAGCGAGGTTGTTTTTGGTAAGTTAGGATCAGCGAGGTTGTTCATGGTAGGTAATCAGCGAGGTGTTCATGGTGGGTCAATCAGCGGTGTTGGGGTAGGTCAGGATCAGCGAGGTGTTCATGTAGGTAGGTTCAGGAGGGTTATGGTAGGTCGGTCAGCGGGTTTTTCATGGTAGGTCAGGTCACGATTTGTTCATGGGGTCGGATCAGCGGGTTGTTCATGGTAGGTCAGGATCACGAGGTTTTAGGGTAGGTAGGATCAGCGGGTTGTCATAAAGGGTGGGATGCGAGGTTTGTTCAGGGAAAGTCGGGATCAGGGGGTTTTGTTTATGGGGGTCGGGATCAGCGGGTTGTTATGGTAATTTAGGAAGGGGGTTTGTTCGGTGGGTCAGGATCAGCGGGTTGTTAGATATGTTTATCTAACAATTGTGGGTTTTTTTTACCTTTTTGATTTTTACTCTGTCAGACACTGCAGCACAAGGGTATTTGTACAGAACAAAAACAACTTGGCAATTTACTAGTGAAATGGCTGGTTTTGTAAAGGGAGTGACCCCCCAACGACAAATTTTCCCCTTTAGTGGCTCATTCATTTTGGGTGGAAATAGATCCTCCCGTCACTTCAACTCCTATTGTTTCAAATAGGAAAATCTCTTTTCCAGACTGAGGGACTGACCACCTCAAAATTTTAAAGGGGTGGGACTGATTACATCGTCTTTAAAGTCTCTTCTGCTTTTTTTAAAATTTTTTCTGTACTAGACTGAAGAACCCTGCTGTGTAGGGGAAACGTCTCAAAATTTAAAATACCTAATTTTTTCCCATAGGGTGTCTTTTTCTAAAAAAACGTGTCGGTATTTTAAAACCTTTTTGATTTTTACCCAGCGAGGGTTCGGGTGGGTAGGATCACAGTAACTCAGTTGTTTTAATTTTTGAGTGTTTAAATGAAATTTAAAAAATTGCAGAGAAAGACAAAAAGCTTAGAATTAGAAATGGAGTAGTAAAATTTAGGGGCCCCCCTTGCTCAGTGGTAGTGTAGTCAGCTTAAAAAATGAAAAGGAAATTACGGGTTTGTTCTCCGGGCAAACCGGACCCCATGAGCAAGTCTACACCTACGCCCCGTTCACCTAGCAGTATTGCCCAAAATGTTAAGCTATGACTGATTTTCCCTTCCGACTATGGAGCCCGAACTCTTTTTTCCCGGGAGGGGGTAACCTAACCCCCTTTGTAAAACTATTTACCCAAAGGTTTACAGAACCTTTATTACATCTTTTATTTCACTCTACACCCGCGTCCTGTATTTTAATGAAGAAGCCCCAAATTTAGGGGAAAACCTTTTAAACCCAAAAGATACCCCTCTGGTTTTCACCCCGTGTCTTAACTTGTCGGTTTTAAAACCCTTTTTTTAAAAACATTGTGGGAAACGGGGTAGCCCCCTACTTTTCAAGAGGAGACAGTCTCATGTCTGAGTCACGAGGTGTGGTTGACCGAGGAAGCTCAGTTGGTGGTTGGCAGTGTGTGGGAGTAGCCACATTAGCCTGGCTTGTTAAGCCAGGCTTACCATAACATTGGTGTGCTTAGGAATCTGAAATGTCTGTAAGTAGATGCGTGTTTTTTTTTTTTTTTTTTTTTTTTTTTAGGGAAAGTTTAAAATCTTGCTAGATAGTAGGTTGATAGACAGCAACCGCCCAGGAAGGTACTACTGTTCTGCCAAGTGATTGAAAACGGAGACCTGTAATGTTTTTCATGATGGTAGGATTGCTGGTGTCTTGTTTCTGTCTCATAAACACACGGGTTAAGTATATTTTGATATTTCTACTTACACTCGGTTATATTACACATACATGCATACGCATATATATGCACACCTTTCTGGGTTTTCGTAATAGCTCTGGTTCTTCCTTATTTATTCTTTCATCTCCATGAGGAAGTGGAAAATAATTTTCTCCGTAAGTCATGCGTGTCGTAAAAGGCATTAGTACTAAAATGCCGGGAGCAAGGGACTAGTAACCCCTTTGTATAAATTACTAAATTTAACGAGAAATTTCGTTTTTCGTTTTAGATCACCCTGCCTCGGTGGGATACGGTTGGTATTTAAAAAAAAAAAAGGTAAAAATCTTGGTATTTGTGGAAAATTGCATTTATCTGAATGTATCATTATATACATAACAGTAAATGAACAAAGATAATTATTATTTATCAGTTAGACAAGTAGGAATTTGTGACACGTAGGCCGCAAAAAATATCACCCTTCGATACCTACCACTGTCATATCCACAAGTTGCTGTGGACCTATTAATTACAAATGAAAAATACATCACCAGGAATGCTGGTAAATATATAAATTTGTGAACTGTATAATATATATATATATATATATATATATATATATATATATATATATATATATATATATTATATATTATATATATATATATATATATATATATAATATATTATAACATTTATATAACAGAAGGAGAATATATCTTAATCATAACACTCACCAATTTGACTGGAGATTAATGTGTTATGTACAGGACCCCCCCCCCTTTTGCCTACATTTATGAAAAATTTACTGGCCAGAATTTAAACATAAATTAGGCAGCTTATCTGAGGTTCCTGGAGTTGTCCTGTCCTGTCGCCCGATACTCAAATTATGCAGGAATGCACATCCAACAATTTAGGCTCCTATTTGAGAGGTGTCAGCCCAAATTTAACCTCTAGAGCACGAAAAATTCTTCCCATTACTAATGTCTGTTACTCATTTCAAAAACAAAAAATGGCGACTGTCCTGCGCAGGCGCAGCTTCCCGTTTTCTATGACAAATATTATTAAATACAGTATGGCCATCTATTTACATACAACTACTGTATTTCTGGAAAATATATACAGTATTTTCCACAGTATTGTTGAAAGTAAAATTTTTAATTATTGCTTAAGTGAACAGCTTAAAATTTTTTTATTGGTTTTTATATGAACTTGTTAAGAGTGAAGTTAGTACATTGAATTGCATTAATGTAGTCACGTTCATATTTTCGTCATGGGAAATCACCAGATGTGGAATTAAACTTGACCCCCTCATTGACCCATTTATGTACTTTTAAAACTGTCAGTGCTTAAATGGTTTCGTCCTCAACACTGCAAGGTCATTCAAGACAAATTTAGTATTTGTGGGTGAGTAATTGTTTGTCTTCACCTGTGACGAACAGCTGGGGTGGATATGTCGTGGGATGGATATGTCGTGGGATGGATATGTCGTGGGATGCATATGTCGTGGGATGCATATGTCGTGGGATGCATATGTCGTTAAGATGAGCATCAGTGTCGCTAAATCATTTTCCCCCAGAAACACAAGGGAGGTGTCAGTTTTAGCTAGTTCCTGGTGTATTGGTGGTGGAAGTAAAAGATGAGTCCTTTGTGGAAGTGTCTCATGCCACTCTAGCACACTAGTAGTAGTGGAAGAGTTGGCATTGTTGTTCTGCAGTGTTCCTATTGACTTTTTTTTTGCGGGGTAACCCAGACAAAGCTGTGTTCTGAGCTCTGGTTAGTTCTGCGTGGTTGAGGGTCTTGCCTGTTTGCGGAGTTTTCGACCATTTGTTTTGTCTGTCTTTAATCTGATTAGTTTGGTGAAAATTCCCTACTCCTCCCTTGTATTTAATTCTTAGCTTCATCTAGTACACTCGTCTTACCTTGGCTACCAACGTGGCTTGGCGTCTAGTCTGAATGTGGTTTTCAGTGTAGATGTGACGAGTCTTGCACTGCCCAGTAGTTGTGTTGGAGTGACGTGAACAGATGTGGACAAAGTGTGAAGAACAGTGTTTTACGTATGTTGTTCTGAAGCCTTAGTGAAAACTTTGATTGCCACTTTAGTTAATGGCCTCGGAGCTTCCATCTATTGTAATGTCCAACGTGATGGTCTCTAGCTGCTGCACCTTATTATGTGTCCAGTCATTGGCGAGGTATACCGTACTGTTGGGACCTTCGTTTGCATACGTGATTCTTTGTGGCGCAATAGTGTCCGAGTTGCATAGAAATTTGCTCGGTGAGGGACGCAGTATGACAGTTTTTGCTAGTTCAGGTTGCCCTGATGGTAAAGTGTACTCATCTACTGGAAGGTCACTTCCTTTTTTCCAACAGTTGTCGTTTAGGCACCAGTTAATATTTTTTTTCCAGCATCGACCATGGCTTTTAGTCAGAGCTGATGAGATTTTATTTCTTAACCAGAGTTTTTCTGTTAATGTAGGAGCTTGGTCACTGTACAGGAGTTCACATACTCAATTATATTCCTGACAGCTAGAAACTGAGTCCAACATGATAAGTCTCGTAACAGTGGCAGGAGACCACAGAAATACAACTCTGCCTCTGCTGTACCAGGATGTAAAACTGTGCAAGAACTTCTATAAATAAAACGTGTGACTGTGAAGATGGGAAGACATAAATTATTTCACGGTAGTTAAGTGAAGACTTAGAGGTAGGAAATAAGGCGGTTAACAAGAGAACTCGGAAATACAAATTGGCCGGGCGAGACAAGAAGAATGAGTGGAAAGGGGTGAGTAGTGCCAAGGATGACTGGTAGGGGCGAGGCCGGGGCACGTATTGGGTATGCGTCCTCCGGGGGTACAAGTGCCCGCCTAGCTGGCTGTGTTGCCGGGTACATCCCGGTAAGCACTTTAAAACCCAGGGAGGAAGCCATGTTTTTGCCAACATTGTTTATTAATGCAGCTGCTGGTTATTCTTCTCATTATTAATAATATTCTGTTGTTGCTGCTGCACTGGCGCTCCTCAGCAACCAGTGTTGCTGATAATAATGTTCTTTATTTTCTAAAGTTACTTAACAGTATTGACTTACTATACAGTCGAGATCTTGGTTGATTTACTCGTCGAGGATTGTTTTGTGGCTGCACAGGTTGTGTACACAGGCCAAGTGTCTATATACAAGTTCTTTGGCAGTGGTAACTAAAACACACAACACACAACACCACACACACGGAAATTGGCCCTGACACACTGGGGGCACAAGTAGTCCAGGAGCTAGAATCGACCCCTGCAACACACACTAGGCGAGTAACTTGCCTCTCTCCTCGCGTCCTGCTCTAACCCTCTCACCTCCTCTCTCCTCTCTCTCTCTCTCTCTCTCTCTCTCTCTACCAGTGAAATAGGTAAAATCAAAACTTGAGCACTATCATTGACTTGACACATGATCGTAGGAATAGGAAGAAGGGGCAGGAGAAGAGCATTTTATATGTATCATTTTAATCTATTGCAGAGGTTTGACTTGTTTGCAATTTACTGTTTTACTTACTGTTTTACTAACGCGACGGGCTGGAGTTTTGAGACTCTGTGACCGCGGGTTCAATCCCGGCCGGGGGTATGGTTCATTTTGTGAGTAGCTGTGTAACTATTAAAACCAAGCATGTAATGCATGGTTGTGGTGCAACCCTTGTTTTATGTTACCATGAAGCCATTAACAACAACAACAACGGTTACAAGCATATTTCGTATTACAATATAAATGGTTTAGAAAACTGACAGGTTGATAAATGAGACACTTGTGCATCACTTGGGTACCTTTAGTGTGGAAACGATTCGCCAGCCAGTGGCTTCATCAGTCTAATACAGAGAAGAACGGTGGTAGATGAGAAGCAGTTTGAGGTAATCAGTCCCTCAGCCTGGAGTCGATGTGTTCAGTCCATCAAGGATGATGGACTGAACACCACTTGCTCCCTATCATCGTGGTGAAGTGGCTGAGTGTATCAAGTAGGTATTTTTAGTCTAGGTGCTCTGCCTTGTCCTTTTCTTAATCTATGTAAGTGATATAGAAACAGGACGTCAAAAATTGCTAATTGCTTATTCTTCTTCCCCTTCCCACCGCTGCCTAAGTTCTACCAATCCTTCCTTCACTTTTCCCCTCTTTCGTCCCTCTTTCTCTGGAAGCTGGGTCATCTTATATGGCAGCACACTGCGGCTGTACCTGTTTTTGTTTGATAAAAGAACCCCAGGGTTGTGTGTGGTGTGAGCAGCTGGTAACTGGCAAAGTCCTCGTATTCCTGAGTTGAACCGAAGTTTCCCTTCAGGTGTAGGCAAATGTTTTTCTTCCAAGGTGGGCCAAGGTTTTTCCTTGCATGACTTGTAGGTCTTGATAAGGGGCAAATTTTGTAATCTGCTGTGCGGAATGACCTTTTGCCAGCCTCGTGACCTTTGATGCGACGGGATTCCTGGACTGTGACTCCAGGAATGTGTGTAAATTGCGATTTCTGGTTTGTGATCCTGAATTATATATTTCTCTCTCTCTCTCTCTCTCTCTCTCTCTCTCTCTCTCTCTCTCTCTCTCTCTCTCTCTCTCTCTCTCTCTCTCTCTCTTGAAAGATGGGGAAGAGTTTCTCCTCCCTCACCATCCCTTAAGGGATCGGGGAGGAGTTTCTTATTCCCGTCCCTCGAAAGAGTGAAGGGCTCCTGATACGAGAAATTGCAGATTTCTTCCCTAAGTTCGGAACAAGCTTGATTATCCCCCATTCCCTAGGCTCTGATCCTAATGGTTTAGAGCTTGCTACTGCTTATAATTAAATAATAATTATTATCCTCTTCTCGACAGGATCTTTATCCACCTATTGTATTTTGGTCAGTAAAGTGTTTTGGAATGTGGTGTGTGGGAAGCACACTCTCGCATCCGTGGCCTTCAGCGATTAGTGGCCATTGGTGACTTGTGGTCTTCAGCGTTTAGTGGTCTTGACGATTTATGGCCTTCAGCGATTTGTGCATCATGGTTCGTGAATGTTTGGTACTTTCTGTAGACGTTGTCAAGGGTGGGGAGCGGGTATGCCAGGTCTGCTGGGGGTGTGGCGGAAACGTGTGGGCGGGGCTGGTATAGGTGTGGGAGGGTCAGGTGTGGGCGTACACAATAAACAAGTTGTGTAAGTGTAATGACTAGTCAACAACAGATGGTGTTGGTGTATGCTCAGGCACGGGGGCGTGAAGATGTACATGCCCGGCTTAAACTCTGAAGCTCTCAAATGTTTTTGTGGCTTAGCCGCGTACCAATGTTGTTGTGTTTTACCTGTGTGTGTGTGTGTGTGTGTGTGTGTGTGTGTGTGTGTGTGTGTGTGTGTTTGTATGTGCGGGGGTGGTTTGGGAGGTGCTGTTGAGAATTTGTAATTTCGACTATAATTGTTTGATATCTGTTGCGGGCGTGAGGAGGGTTTGTTGCGGTTATTTTACGTTTATTTCATAGCCAGAGTATTGTTCTGTGGCTTTTATTGTGGCGGCCATGGAGTTTAGTGGTTCTTGGAATGGGTATGGTGATTGATTCCTGTTCTCCCCTTGGCCTGCCTGGCTTTGAGATTAGCAGCGTGTCTCATGATAAGCGGACGGAGGGTGGAGTCTCCACCACTCCTTGACATGAATCACCCACACAGCTCTGGCTAGCGCTTCACATAAATATAAAAAAATAGTATTTTAGCTACACGAGCAACACACCTTTGCCCTCCACACCCCACACTTTCCCTACCCCTCGGAATTCTGCTACCCCATAGTCCCCCCCCCCAACACATCTGCATCTCTCTGTTACTCTCAAGTTTATCTCGTAACTCGTCCTATCTCTAAACAGTTTTTCTTTTTCTTCCAGGTAAGTGACGTAACGTGACGACTGCCCTTGGACCGCTCTGTGTAAGTTGGTGGGTTGTGTTGTTGCTGCGTGTGTGTGTGTGTATCTTTACCTATTTGTGGTTGCAGGGGTCGATTCACAGCTCCTGTCCCCGCCTCTTCGCTGGTCGCTGCTAGGTCCACTCTCGCCCTGCTCTGTGAGCTTTATTATTATTATTAAAGATTCGCCGGTATTCTCCCGGCCCGGGCCTTTTCCAAGTGGTGGCCCGGCCTTGGCTCCCTCTTTAGGGAGTATCTGAGACCTAAGTCTCCCATGGGATTAGGCACAAGTACCTCCTCATCTTTGGGACCAACTGTCCCCAGGCCTAGCCACAAGCTAGGCCTCTCTGGTCTGCCATCCCCGCCACAAGGGGGCTAATGGGAATGACAGTCTTATGAGCTAAAGGCTCGGGCTCAGGCATCTACCCTACCCTAGAAGGGTTAGGCATGGTGATGAGCTTTATCGTATCTCCTCTTAGTTATATATATGGATCCTGCCTCCATTATATCACTCTCCAAATTGTTCCACGTCTTGACAACTCCGTGACTGAAGAAATACTTTCTAACATCCCTGTGGATCATCCTGAGTCTTCAATTTTCAGTTGTAACTCCTCCTTGCTGTGTCCCATCTCAGAAACATCCTATCCCTGTGACATGTTAACATGTCACCCTTATCCTTCCTGTCCTCCAGTGTCGTCAGGTCGATTTCCTTTAACCTCTCCTCGTAGGTCATACCCCTTAGCTCCGGGACTAATCTTGTTGTAAATCTTTGCACTTTCTCTAATTTCTTGACTTCCTTGACCAGATGTGGGTTCCATACTGGTGCTGCATACTCCAATATGGGCCTGATTGAGTCCTGACGTACACTGTGTACAGTCTTGAACGATTTCTTGCTGAAGTGTCAAAACGTTATTCTTAGGTTTGCCAGGCGTCCATATGCTGCAGCAGTTATTTGGTTGATGTGTGCGTCAGATGTGTTCGGTATTATACTCGCCCCAAGATTCTTTTCCTTGAGTCAGGTTTGCTTCTTCCCTTATTTCCTGGATTTCCCGATGGCCTGATCACTCCTCTGCAGGAGACCTGTAACTACCTACAGCCCGCTCATTCACTGCTGTCCCTGTACCCAACTGCATGCCACTCTCGTTCCTTGACATGTCCTGGTGTCCTGATGGGGCTTCTATGTAGGACTTAATTCCTTCCTTTCCTTCGGTCCCCTCGTTGGATAGTGGTGTACCTGCTCCTGATGCCATGGCTCTTCTATTCATTGGCTCTATATCTTGCTTCAGCATTTTCAGTTCATCTTCTAGACTCTGTATCCTGGCTTCTGCAGCTTCGGCTAGCAGCTCCCGTGTGTGTGTGTGTGTGTGTGTGTGTGTGTGTGTGTGTGTGTGTGTGTGTGTGTGTGTGTGTGTGTGTTTGTTACCATTTTGTCCTAGGCACATGTCGATTAGACACTAGGCCTGTTGTGTGTGTGTGTTTGTTTTCTGTCTTTGCCATCTCGTTCTCAAACGTACCTGTGTGTGTGTGTGCGCACGTGCGTGCGCATGCCTATGTAAAGATCCTGATCCTTTCTTTACCACTTCGTTATCCAGAATAATTCCAATTTTTGTCCACTCTGAGGCCGAAGAATTACTTCCTAACATCCTGGTAACTTTTTTTTTTTTTTTAAACTTCCAACTGTGCCCTCGTGTAGTTATATCTCGCCTCTCCAGCAACTTGTTCCTGTCCACATTATCCGTTCTTCTCTGTATTTTGTACGTCGTTTTCACGTTTCCACCAAAGCATAAAGGTGCCTCGTTCCCACAACCACAGGATACACAAAAAATGATACCTCATTATTCTAATTTGGTCATTGTGTGTCGACGCGTTAGGCGAGGGATTGAGTACCATACACTGTCTCCCCATAAACACACTCACAGTTGCGTGAAATTTCAATTTGTAAAAGTGTGGTGTGTAAAAGTGGGCCGCAGCAACCGGACAATATCAGTTGGTTCCGTGATTGTTTCTATTGTGTTTCTTCTCTGAAAACATTGCTAATTTTTACCCACTGAAGTTTTTGAAGCCGTGGATAGTGATAAAGATGACTTTGTGCGGACTTCAGTAAGGCTTTTGATATGACTCTGCTCAAGAGTCAGCACTGATGAGAGTGCTATCAGAACACACTTCAACTAACAGAACACGTAAAACACTTACAAGTTGCAGTTAGCATAAACTTGTAGCTGAAGCCACGCTGTTAACGCGTTTAAAATGTAGTGATTGTTACTGTATATTTTTATATGTTTAAGATGTACTACTCCCAGGACTGTTGAATAACTGTACTTATCAAGGTCATATTTATATGCTGTGCCCTGAGATATATTACAAATGTATCTATCAGAAGTATGTTTACATGTTGTGCCCAGAGCTATACTGCGACTGTTAAAGCTATAGTATAATATGGGGTTCTTGAGCTATATTACAACTGTACACCGCAAGGAGATTTAGGATGTAAACACACACACACACACACACACACACACACACACACACACACACACACACACACACACACACACACAAGACCTAGAAGGATGATAGTTGATCAAAGGAATCTTTTTTTCGAGGTAATATTAACATCAATAAAGTTACTCTTTCCTGATACCAGCGAGGTTATATGCTTATAGTTTAGAAGTAATAAAGATGAATAAGGTTGTAATAAATATAGTGATGAATTTTGCAGCAAATGTTGAACTGGTAACATTGGATTGTGTGTTAACACTGAACTGGTAACATTGGATTGTGTGTTAACACTGAACTGGTAACATTGGATTGTGTTAACACTGAACTGGTAACATTGGATTGTGTGTTAACGCTGAACTGGTAACATTGGATTGTGTTAACACTGAACTGGTAACATTGGATTGTGTGTTAACACTGAACTGGTAACATTGGATTATGTTAACACTGAACTGGTAACATTGGATTGTGTGTTAACACTGAACTGGTAACATTGGATTGTGTGTTAACACTGAACTGGTAACATTGGATTGTGAGTTAACACTGAACTGGTAACATGGATTATGTTACACTGAACTGGTAACATTGGATTATGTTAACACTGAACTGGAACATTGGATGTGTGTTAACACTGAACTGGTAACATTGGATTATGTTAACACTGAACTGGTAACATTGGATTGTGTGTTAACACTGAACTGGTAACATTGGATTGTGTGTTAACGCTGAACTGGTAACATTGGACTGTCGTTGTCAACACTGAACTGGTAACTATATACGAATAACCCGCACTTAGAAGAGAGGAGCTTACGACAACGTTTCGGTGTGACAGTGAAAAGTCACACCGAAACGTTGTCGTAAGCTCCTCTCTTCTAAGTGCAGGTTATTTGTGTATTGTTCCAGTGACGGTATTGTCTTTTTGTTCTTTCTAAACTGGTAACACTGGAAGGAAATTGAGTGATAGAGAGATGAGTGTAACAAACTTGTCAGCTAGCGTTATTAAATTATGCTAATGAAACAGAGGAGTGAAGATATTTGAATATGGGTCTCTCTCCTGTCACACTGACACCACTCTTGTTACTCTGTATATTCATCACTGGAGGCAGGGAGTGTTGAGCAACAGTGTGTAACGTAGAAGAGATGCAGCAAGGACGTAGCACGTATTAAAGACATCAGTGTATAATGTAGAAAAGATACAGCGAGTATGTGTAATATACATGAGAGGTAGGTCAGCAACATTAAGGAAGGCAGGGAGGGATCTTGTTCATATATGACGTGTCACTCACCAGCTCTGGGACTTTCCTTCATATACCACCTCTCTCTCTCTGTCTCTGTCTCTCTGTCTCTGTCTCTGTCTCTGTCTTTCTCTCTCTGTCTCTCTGTCTTTCTCTCTGTCTCTCTCTGTCTCTGTCTCTGTCTCTCTGTCTCTCTCTGTCTCTGTCTCTCTGTCTCTCTCTGTCTGTCTGTCTGTCTTTCTCTCTCTCTCTCTCTCTCTCTCTCTCTCTCTCTCTCTCTTTTACCAAACTTTTTATTGTTGGTCATACATTGTGTATACTCATCTATTTGTGGTTGCAGAGGTTGTCACATCTCCTGGCCCCGCCTTTTCGCTGGTCGCTACTAGGTCCACTCTCTCCCTGCTCCATGAGCTTTATCGTATCTCTTCTTAATGCTATGTATGGTACCTGCCTCCATTACATCACTCTCCAGATTGTTCCACGTCCTGACAACTCTGAAGAAATACTTCCTAAAATACCTGTGACTCATCTGAGTCTTCAACTTCCAGTTGTGACCCCTTGTTGATGTGTCCCATCTCTGAAACATCCTATCCTTGTCCACCTTGTCAAGTCTTCTCAGTATTTTATATGTTATCATGTCACCCCTATCCCTGCCTCCACTACGTTGTGTGTGTGTGTGTGTGTGTGTGTGTGTGTGTGTGTGTGTGTAGTAAAGGGACAACGTGGGAAGGACCTACACACCGTCACTGCTCAGTTTTAAATTTCAGATCCAGTTTTTACACTTAGTCGTAAGTTCAAACATTAGATTAAATTGTTTTTGGGTGTCAACGCAGTTGTTGATCATAATTGTTGTTAAGGATCCATCTGGAAGCGGGTTTTTGAGTTGAACAGCATATAGGGCAAATTTGTGTTGGAGTGTGTTGTGTACATCACTGTCTTGTCCTATGTGTTGCTACTGTATGTGACACCTGTCGTGCTACTGTGACACCTGTGTTGTGCTACTGTAACACGTATGTGCTGCTACTGTCTGTGACTCCTCTGTGCTGCTACTGTATCTGATACCTGTCCTGTGTGTTACTACTGTGACACCTGTGCTGCTGCTGTGACACCTGTGTGTTGCTACTGTGTGAAACCTGTTGTACTGACACTTGTGTGCTGCTGCTGTGACACCTGTGTTGCTGCCGTGTGACACCTATGTCTTGTGTGCTGCTACTGTGCCTGTCACCCGTGTCTTGTTGCTAATGTTTCTGACACCTGTGTGGTGTTACTGTGTGGGACACCTGTCTTTGGTCG